ATCGGTGGGCGGGGCTAAGCAGGCAGTGCTGTAGAATCGGTGGGCGGGGCTAAGCAGGCAGTGCTGTAGAATCGGTGGGCGGGGCTAAGCAGGCAGTGCTGTAGAATCGGTGGGCGGGGCTAAGCAGGCAGTGCTGTAGAATCGGTGGGCGGGGCTAAGCAGGCAGTGCTGTAGAATCGGTGGGCGGGGCTAAGCAGGCAGTGCTGTAGAATCGGTGGGCGGGGCTAAGCAGGCAGTGCTGTAGAATCGGTGGGCGGGGCTAAGCAGGCAGTGCTGTAGAATCGGTGGGCGGGGCTAAGCAGGCAGTGCTGTAGAATCGGTGGGCGGGGCTAAGCAGGCAGTGCTGTAGAATCGGTGGGCGGGGCTAAGCAGGCAGTGCTGTAGAATCGGTGGGCGGGGCTAAGCAGGCAGTGCTGTAGAATCGGTGGGCGGGGCTAAGCAGGCAGTGCTGTAGAATCGGTGGGCGGGGCTAAGCAGGCAGTGCTGTAGAATCGGTGGGCGGGGCTAAGCAGGCAGTGCTGTAGAATCGGTGGGCGGGGCTAAGCAGGCAGTGCTGTAGAATCGGTGGGCGGGGCTAAGCAGGCAGTGCTGTAGAATCGGTGGGCGGGGCTAAGCAGGCAGTGCTGTAGAATCGGTGGGCGGGGCTAAGCAGGCAGTGCTGTAGAATCGGTGGGCGGGGCTAAGCAGGCAGTGCTGTAGAATCGGTGGGCGGGGCTAAGCAGGCAGTGCTGTAGAATCGGTGGGCGGGGCTAAGCAGGCAGTGCTGTAGAATCGGTGGGCGGGGCTAAGCAGGCAGTGCTGTAGAATCGGTGGGCGGGGCTAAGCAGGCAGTGCTGTAGAATCGGTGGGCGGGGCTAAGCAGGCAGTGCTGTAGAATCGGTGGGCGGGGCTAAGCAGGCAGTGCTGTAGAATCGGTGGGCGGGGCTAAGCAGGCAGTGCTGTAGAATCGGTGGGCGGGGCTAAGCAGGCAGTGCTGTAGAATCGGTGGGCGGGGCTAAGCAGGCAGTGCTGTAGAATCGGTGGGCGGGGCTAAGCAGGCAGTGCTGTAGAATCGGTGGGCGGGGCTAAGCAGGCAGTGCTGTAGAATCGGTGGGCGGGGCTAAGCAGGCAGTGCTGTAGAATCGGTGGGCGGGGCTAAGCAGGCAGTGCTGTAGAATCGGTGGGCGGGGCTAAGCAGGCAGTGCTGTAGAATCGGTGGGCGGGGCTAAGCAGGCAGTGCTGTAGAATCGGTGGGCGGGGCTAAGCAGGCAGTGCTGTAGAATCGGTGGGCAGGGCTAAACAGGCAGTGATGTAGAATCGGTGGGCGGGGCTAAGCAGGCAGTGCTGTATAATCAGTGGGCGGGGCTAAACAAGCAGTGATGTAGAATCGGTGAGCGGGCCAAACAGGCAGTGATGTGTCTTTCTTTCTTTTGTTTATTGGCTGGTCAGTAGACGTCGTAGCAGCAAACACACTGTGCGATGATCATGCTGAATTTCTGACACTGTCAGAAAATTATTGTAGGCTATCTTTGGTCGCAAGACCGTGGCAACGGCCGTCTTTGAACCTCTCTCACTGTATGACACAGGACCACCGATTAGGAGCCACGATCACAGATATCGCCATGATTGTTCACGATGGCAGACTTTCATCTAGGACAGCCAGAAATCGTGCAGTGTGTCCCGGGCTTTAGTAAACAGCAGTCATAAGGGTGTATGAACAGAGAGGATGGATTGTAAACTCTCCGTCGTGGCTTATTCTTCTCTGCCGGTGCTGTGAGTCTGTTGCGAAACTGTATTCGTTTCCTTTCATCTTAAAAAGGGATTTGTGGAGAGAGAAACATCAGCTTGTTCTTTTGTGTTTTCTCAAAGGTTCTTCCAGGAGGGATTCGTCCAGATGGTAATCGTTCCGCGCTGTGAGTGTCCAGCGATTATTGATGGGACGTGAGAGTCGTGATGTAGATGTAGACAGGAGCCAAACATACAAGCTCTTGTAGACAAACAATAGAACTTGAAACAGGAGTAGCAGAATCACATTTACCGCTGAAGACGTGAGACACACGATTGTGTAACTCCCAAATAAAGTGCACTGTGGTAATCAAGTCTTAATGAAATAAAATCATGCATTACAGCCTCCAGTGCATTAAAAGTAAAAAAAAAAAAAAAAAAAAAAGATGTTCATTTAGCAATAGTTCTGAGTTGATAAAAACTGCCTTTGTCTGTCAAATATTAGGGCTGAAACAAAAAAGACACTCTTCAGTCAGATCAGTCAGTCCTGGAGCTTCATAAACGCTTAGATGTAAGCTTCACAAATGTTAAAGTGAGTAATTTGTCTGAGGTTTGTTCGGGTTTGTCTGAGCTCTAGTCATGTTTCCAGTGGAGAATCCACACTGAGCTCGACACACTCTCATGAAATCTTAATAGCGGGAGGGAGACAATGCCTCACCTCAGGAGACAGCCAGATTTATGAAAATTAATAATTCACCAGTGTTTTCTCTTCTTCCTGCGAAAGCTCTGAGGACTGAATATTTCGAGATTTCAGCTTATTTACTCTCGCATGTATTTCAAATGCGCTGCTGTGTGTTCAACAGCTACTGTATGTGGAGTCCGTGCTTACGCTGTCTCCTAAATTAAGATTCTTATTAAGAGCTCGTTATGATTTGAACTCGTAAAGCTTTATTATAGACATGTGATTATTAGATGCACGATTCATCGGCACATCTTTGGTCATGTTGTAATCATTCTGTTCAGCTGATGTCGTCGGTTTTTCTCTCACTGAACATCTTGTTTCTCTCAGTAATGTCAGATAATGGGAGTTCAGTTAGCTCTGTACTAGTTTACCAGTGTTAACTAACTCATCTTTAATACAGTGTCCATGTGGAGCAGCTGCAGTCATGTGTAGTGTCACTGCATCTTCTGGATTTTGGGATGTTTAGGGTCAGTGTTAGTAATTGTGATACTCTCATAACACTGACATCTGTTCTTTGGGACATTTTTGTGCCATGCATAAGTTCATGTGGAACAAGTAAATCATGTGTGTGAGTGTGTGAGTGAGTGAGTGAGTGAGTGTGTCTGTGTGTCTGTCTGAGTGAGTGTGTGTGTGCAAGTGAGTGTGTGTGTGTGTGTGTGTGTGCGTGCGTGAGTGTGTGTGTGTCTGTATGTGTAGTGTCACTGCATCTTCTGGATTTTGGGATGTTTAGGGTCAGTGTTAGTAATTGTGATACTCTCATAACACTGACATCTGTTCTTTGGGACATTTTTGTGCCATGCATAAGTTCATGTGGAACAAGTAAATCATGTGTGTGAGTGTGTGAGTGAGTGAGTGAGTGAGTGTGTCTGTGTGTCTGTCTGAGTGAGTGTGTGTGTGCAAGTGAGTGTGTGTGTGTGTGTGTGTGTGCGTGCGTGAGTGTGTGTGTGTCTGTGTGTCTGTGCGTGAGTGTGTCTGTGCGTGAGTGTGTGTGTGTGTGAGTGTGTGTGTGCGTGAATGTGTGTGTGCGTGTGTGTGTGTGTCTGTGTGAGTGTGTGTGTGTGTGTGTGTGTTTGTGTGTGTGTGTGTTTGTGTGTGAGTGTGAGTGTGTGTAAACTAGAGAAAGTGTTCAGGACAAAACACTTGTACGTGTATCAGTGGCACTGAAGTGTGAGCTTCATGTGTTTGAGTCTGTAGTAAGATCCAGCTAAAGGAAACACATCTGAGATTCAGATCAACAGACTGAATGTAGCTCAGCTATCAGCTGATGATGAACGAGAGACGTGTGTGTCTTTGGACTGCCGGTCATTTCGTTTGACTAGTCGTGACCTTCACACTCACACAGTGAGTTTCGAGCTGTCAGCACTGAACGCTTCACAAACGCTCGTCTAGATCAGCTCAGATCTCTGTGTGGTTCCTTTATCTAAAGAGTCTGCTCAGTAAAGACTGTAAGGCATAGTTCACTAAAAGTAAAAAAAAATAATAACTTGCTTTCCTCAGTGGAACACAAAAGAAGATATTTTGAGAGATGTCTGTTTTTGTCCATATAATGAGAGTTAATGTGTCCAGTGATGTTTTGGTCCCAGTGTTTTTCAAAATATCTTTTTTTTCCTCACAAGAAAGAAAGTCATACTGGTTTGGAGCCACATGAGGGTCAATACATGATGACAGAATGATCATTTTTGGTGAACTGTTCCTTTAAGCCAATGATCAGTGATTCAGATATTTCATTTTCTACTTCTGCTCTATTTCACACTGTTCATCATCCCTTACGGCCATTTACATTTGTTTCATCATTTTCACTAGAATGATATATGTGATTTTTCGTTTCTGCACCAGTAGCATCAACATTTGGGAATGTGTTGAAACGGAGGCGGATGAATTCAGGACAGCATATTAACATAAACTACAGCCAGCCAGATACCGAATGAGTCGTGCTCTGTTGGTCAGTCAAACAGATGGCCCAGTCTAAACTCATGCGATCTGTGTGAGTCAGAAGTTGATGTCAGGTGTCTCAAATGAACAGCGATCAATGCTGTGAAAGTGTCACAGAGGCTCTGTTCAGATCTTTTGTGACTCCGATCATAACGGTGTGAGCAGCACAAGACACATGGAATCTGATTTGGATCTGAGGCTTGCAGTGTGAACGCATCCAGATTCACTCCTCAGGAATCTAGCGGCCCGTGACTGTGAGCAGCTGTTTAACGTCTCTCAGGTCAATATCACAACTAGACACTGATGAATCTGGTGTGCGATAGCAAGCGAAGCACTGAACTAGAAGCGCCTCTAATGAGCCGCAGCAGGACGAGTGTTTGACCCGTGTGAAACTGTGGCTAAATGTGAAACTCATATCTGCTGTTGTCTAACACTGCTTTTCTAATGTTTCTCAGCGGGCGTCTTGCATTCTGACATCTCATCTTCTCTCGCTCGCTGACTTTGAACTGATCAGTTCTCCAATGAAAGATTCATGTGTCTGATGGTCAGATGTGTGACTACGAAGCATGGCACTAATCCAGTCTTTCTCTCTCTTTCTCTCCTCGGTGCGGTCCGGGAACAGAAGAGTACGCGTTGGAAGGTAAGTGGTTGATTAATAACAGTTAAAGATGCTGTGTGATGTTGAGGATTGGTGTCGGTGTCAGCGAGGCTGTTCTCAGATTGGACTGCGGTTTTGGCGACTTCTGGGGGCTTTGATTTGCTCTTCCTCCTTTGTTTCTTTTCTTCTTATGAGTTGGTTTGATTTTTACCTTTCAGTGAGTTGAAATGGAGCAAATGCAGTCGAATGGCTCAGTGTTGTTGACCAAAAACTCAGTGCGGTTGTTTAGTGGCACAGCAGGTCCAAACCCGCTGTCGTGTGGAAGTCCAGCATGTAGACTGGTTCTCATGCGAGACGCTGAAGGTTAAACCCTCCCAATGGTGTCCCTCTGGCGTCTGACAGACCAAACTCCGCTCGCATCCGTCGAGGGCCAGATGTATTTACCCATAATTCCCCCGCAGGCTGGATTTGTCTGCGTAATTGATGGCGCTGTGCTTCTCTCAGGTGTGTGTTTGGGGATAAGGCGCAGGTATCTGGATGTTTTCCCACTATCAGGATGCTGCTGATGGATTACCCCTCTCTACCCAACATGCCTCGGGAGGCACGTCGCTATGGCAACAGAGCAGATACGTGTGTGCGTGTGTGTGAGCTGATGATGATGGCAGAACACGCATAATTGGCAGGAGCCTCATGGATGTTATCCACATGTTTCCAGTGTTTTCAGCTTGATTTATACAAATCTGATAATAGCACAAGTTAGACATTTCCATTATTGTCTGAGCAGCGGAAGCTTCAGCACCATTTAATATCATTTCAGGCATATCAATTTTCATATTACAATAATTTAAGCTTTTATCACAGTATTGAATTATGGTACAAAAACAGTAAGCCTTTTCCTCTTATTAACAATTTTAAAGGGCTCATCGGATGAACATTTTCCACAAGTTGGCATGATTTATTAACATCTTCGTGAAATGTCTGTAACATATTTTGCTTAAAAACACTCAATGGCAGTGTAATCAACACCCTTTTTGCCTTGTCAAAAACAGCTCTGCTCACACCAGCCGGTTTTGGTGTATGTCTCTTTAAATGATAATGAGTTACTGCACCCTCTCCCCCCTTCCGGGATCTCCACTAAAGATAAAATAAATCCACTCCTCTCTTGTCTCCTCCGAGCCTGGGACTCTAAATAATGATTTGTGTTGGTCTGTGCAGCCAACGACAGAACATTTAGCATGTTTTCCGCAAACTTTTGCCGTGGCGTCAGAACAAGTATACCGCTGTCGCTTGCGAAAACAACAATGAGCACCATACAGTAATATTATATTAAGAACCCCTTCCTACGTCAGATCTGATCGGCTCATTTTCTCACATGCTTGCAGAGAAAGGCTTACAAAACCAAACTTACTGGGTTCTTCTTTTTCACGTTTTCTGAGTTGGTAGATGCACCAGACACTCAATTATAGCACTTAAACACAGAAAAAGTCAGATTTTCATCCGATGAGCCCTTTAACAAATTTTTCCAAATAACAAAAAGAACATTTAAAAACAATACACAATAAAACTGTATGAAGTAAACAAATGTTTCAAACAGATTAAAGGACAAAAGACCACAAGAGATTCATTACGAGTCTGTGCAGCTTCTGCAAAGAGGGAGACTGGAAACACTTTTGTTCAGGTCTGAAACTGCTTTTGCGTCTGTTCTGATCGAAGCGGGTGACATTTGCTGCTGTGGTGTGGCTCAGTCAGTAAAGCAGAGAGGCCTTGATGTGAGAAGACTCGAGACTAGAGATCTCAGCGCTGACCTGGAACTGATCCACTGTCTCCAGCCTGAGCCACAGAGCCGGTCAGTCAGGCACTGGAAACATCTGCTGCATGAATAATGAACTATAAGATACAGACAGAGAGCGAGACCAACACAAACACTGAAAAACTGATGAGGTGTCCATCATTCCTGCAAACGCCAGAAGACTAGCACTGACCGTTTGTGTAGTAATTAGTATGCAAACCTCTGATATTTGATCATTTTATAGATGAGTGATCATGACTGATTATCTATGAATCAACCAAACCTGCAAGGCTTCATTAGATTCTGGCCTGGATCACAAAAAGGCTATTTTGTTAATCATCTTGTTAATTTAGCTTTCCTTAAAACAGTCTGATCATCTTCAAAAAGAGTTGCATTACGTTTGCATTTATGCAATTGGCAGATGTTTTTATCCAAAGTAACTTTACTAAATTAAAAAACAAAACTACAGAGAGTTTTATCTGCACATTTATGAAAATACATGAAGTGCATTATAATAATCGTAATAATTCAGAGGCAGTGCAGATTTCTGATTCATTGTGGCTCAAGCAGATGCTTTGTTTGCATCATCGAATCACTATTTTGCTGTTTAACACTGTAAAGATGCTTTGAAACAATCTGTTGTATAAAGCGCTTTAGAAATAAAGGACTTGACTTAAATCTGTACTATTTAGATTTTCTTTTTCACAGAAATTGATTTATTATTAGTCCATTTAATGAAGGTCAATGGGGTCCAATGTTGTTTGGTCCCCAAGGTTCTTCAAAAACATCTTCTTTAATGAAAGTCATAGAGATTACCGTGAGGGCAAGATAATGAGATAAAAAGATAATTTGTGGATGAGACAGTGTTTTTTCCAGCTGTGGTGGCTGGACTGTTTCCCATGAACCACGCCCCAGAATCACGTGCACTCAAACTCAGAATTCAATTCATTTGAACTAAAAAAGACAAGTAAACAGTAAGTAATGAAATAAGAACAAATAAATAAATGACAATAGCACACACAAAAGCAATAACAAGATGCAAATTAATTTAGGCTGCTGTCTCTTTAAGAGCTCATGCACGGCTCTGATATACTGTTACAGTGTGCTTTGCTTCTTAACGGTTTACATTCACTCACTAGCCTACATACCGACGATGCTTAATATAAACCGACTGTGTTTACGTGAATACTCAGACAGGCATTTTGACATAATTTTGTGTGTATTTGACCGTTTCTGTGCAATAAGGCACAAAACATAACTCAATTCTGTCGTCGCGCACTGCTTCTAATTTCTGGGTGTGCGCACACAGAAAACAGTCTATAAGAGAGCGCGCGAGTACTGTATTGAGTTCTCTTTCACTCTTTTTGCACTTGAATGGTTTAAAGTCACTTCAGTGTTCAAATTGGCTATACATTCTGTCATCTGTCATCGCGTTACAAGCACAGAACCTGCAAGAATGAGTAGAATTATGCTCAATACATACACACCATCCCGTGCCGAAATGCAGGTCCTGCTCTGTGTCCTCCGCTATAGATTACCAGACTGTGAGTACTGTGAGTGATGTGAGGCACAATGTTTCTTTCAGATGTTTGTCCTGGTTTTGTCACAGGGATGTGGATGTGGAAATTGGCAGTGATAAATGTGAAGGGTAAGTAGTTAGATCACCTGCTGGTCATTATGAGAGAGTTAATGGACGCGTGGTTGAGGAGCCGCCGGTCGGTCCTCCACAGATAGCCGCGCTTGAGCCGGATGGCTAATTGTTGACTAACCTAGATTTCGGCTCGGTCTTGGATGCCCTATTTCCAGGGTTGGTGTAATTAGCGGCTCTGACCGGGTGCTCAGAAGGTGTGGTTAGATTGATGAGATCCAGCGTCTCTCAGGTGCCTGTGGGGAAGGAGGCTCTCGTCTGACAGAGAAAAGCCCTGCAAATGGATGAGCTGGGAACGCCGTGACCCCGTTCTGCTCCGAAACCTGTCACCTGTGTTTCCTAACCACGTACGTGAACTCTGATTCGCCTGGAATGAGTTTTAAGCATTTTTGCTGTTTGTTCTGCAGTAGTTCAGAGCTTCTGGGAGCTCAGAAGAGCTGTTTCTTCTGGTCACGGCCGATTGGTTTGTTTGTCTGATCGGGCTGCTGTCCTTATCTGGCCGATCCCAGCTAATGAGCGTTCCCTCTGGAACATTCGGGATTAAACCTCATGACGGGTGGAGGATCTTGGATATTTCCTCCTCTCTTGGCCGTAAACTGGAAGGCTGATGTCCTCCGTAGATATGAGATTAAAGTTTGCCGTTATCACAGATTAGAGTGGATCAGCTAAACCAGATTAGGGATTAGTTCAGAACATTCTCCAGAGCAGACCAGAGTGAGTTCTTGTCATTTTGTTTGGGATGGGTTTGTGCGATTTACTGATGGACGGGTCGTTGTGCTTCTTTGTAGAAAAGAGAAGAGATCAGTGTCTTGTGCTAGTCCAGCGTTTGGTTTGATCTAACACTGATCATGTTTTCGTCATGTGATCATGTTTTTACTCGTAATTACCTGTTTTATCTTCCCATAATGCACTGCTGCAGCACTCTGTAGCTCGGTCTGTGTGATGGTGCTGATGCAGTTGCTCAGTCTCTGTTTATGTCTGTATTTTTCAGTCTCTTCATTGATTTTCATCTGTTGTCTTTGTCTCGATGCTGTTGTCTCATCCATACACACCTTTAACCCTCCACATCAGCGTGAGACAGAGAGAATGAAGCTTCAGAAACACAAGATGAGTCACATGAAGAAGAGCAGAGAGACCATGTGACTACAGCAAACCTGAGGCGTCCAATCAGCAGGCAGCGTTTCACCCCACATTCATGCACCTGCAGTCACACTGGAGCGTTAGTGAAGCCTTGAGAACTTTCTGGAATGAGTAGATGAATTAGATTTAACAAACAACACAAAAACATTGCGTGTTTTCACATATTCATCAACCAAAGAGATTGAGGAGTCAAAATCTCAACACCGATCAAATAGAGACAGTTCTTAAAGATTCACCAGCATTTAGCTGGAGCCACAGTGGAGTAGTTTAGATTTAACGTTTGATTTATGTGTGTGTGTGTGTGTGTGTGTGTGTGTGAGTGTGAGTGTGAGTGTGAGTGTGTGTGTGTGTGTGTGTGTGTGTGTGTGTG